GGAGAAGGGGTGGAGGGGCTGCGGCAGCAAGGTGCGATGCCGACACCCGATTTTATCCTGAGGCGCCCGAGGTCAGGTAGCGGGATTGCTGTGCGTTTGTCTTGGGGAATGACCGACGCTGAGAAAGTACCCGAGGCGATCGACGGGCCGGAGCCCGGGACCCCTGCCTGCACCACCGGGCGAGGAGGAGCCAGCGCGGCCCCGCAGCCTGGCCTGCGCCTCCCCTGGAACAGCACCCGGGCTCGGCGGCCACGAGGGGTCCCGCGCGTCCCGTGTGCCCGCGGTGCGGAACGACCGCGTTGCAGCCCGCGGTCTCGGATTACGAACCGAGGGACCGACCGTTTGTGTCACCCGGAGCTAGCGGGCTGAAGCATCCTGCTGCCTCGTCAGCCGAAACTGCTGAGAATCGCCTTGGAAATCACAAGGTTTGCGTCAGATAGCAGGTACTGGAACAAGGGAGATCCCTCCGGGGCCGGTGGAGAAGGAACAGCTCTAGCTGTGCGTATACAACAGCGCAACGCTGAATATGCCGACCCCGAGAAAATCCGAGAAAATTAAAAGAAGCGTCTCCTCCCTCTTTCCCCTTCCTACCTGTTCTCCCTCAGTTTTTCCTGCCGCCTCCTCGCCCGCGGCTGCCTGGAGCGGGCATCCCTCCGGGTTATTCACCTCCCTCGGTGTCGCCCCTTACCGCACGGCGGTAAAACTACGCCTGAACAGCCCACGCGGCTGGCTGCCCGCTTGCTGTTCGTTAAATGGCGTGCATTCGGCTAGCAAAGCGACTGTCCATCCTCACGGCGTTCGGGCCGCGCCTGTTCCCACGCTCCGCTGCTCGTCCTGGCAGCTCCTCCCGAAGAGTCCGTTCGCCAGGGAGGCAACGCGGGGCAAGGGAGATCGGGCGCCACGTCCGGTGCTGGCAGCCCCGCGGCTGAGCCGGTTCTAACCCAGCCGGGTGACGCTGCTGCAAAGCACACCTGCAGCGCGGCGGCAGCTCCTTCCGGCCGCGGGGTCCTCGCCTTCCCGGGGAAGGCCGCGGTCCGCTCCCAAGGCCCGCGGCTCTGCCGCCCAACCTGCCCGCAGAGCCCGGCGCCTCCGGAGCGCGT